AGCAAGGACGCCACTAGGGGCTCCTGGCCTTACTACTAGGAGCAAGGTCGCTACTAGCACCTCCTGGCATCGCTACTAGGAGCAAGGACGCTACCGCTACTAGGAACTCCGAGGAGACGACGGAAGTGGTCTCTTCGGTTTCCGCAGGAGACCACCGCAAACTGGGTCCCGTGGCGTTTTCGGTTCTTAGGGGGCAGTCCAGTGGTGAAAAACCCACGATGTGCAGATTCAATCGTTCAAAGCAAACACATGTGTCGGAGAATGAACCGGCGCAAAGCCTTTTTGAAAACATGTTTGCGTCCTGCTCCCTGCCCAGACGTTTGTTGGCTCTCATGTTTGCGTCCAAAGAAGAGTAGAAGAGGTTTGGTGAGCGGATGGCTCCCCGGTTATTGAAGATATACTTCCATGCTTAGAATGTGCAGCGTCCAAATAGATTCTAAGGGGATCTAAGGGGATCCCAGGAACGCGTTTTCCTTTGTGTTCATGCATAGCTCTACTAGTAGCTCTTTGGAACCACCTCATCACCTCATCACCTACATAAAAGCGATGAACTATACATATATATATATATAGATCCAGCATGGACTCTCTCCCGCAACCCCAAAATGCCCAACTCCTTGCAGCCTGGCGGCGCAGACACGCGCAGACAGGTCTTCCATGTCCTGGTGGAACGGATCTCTAACCCGAGCTTATTGCATCTGGGCGTTCTCTGATCGGGCGAGGCGAACTCTTTGGGCCGTGTGGATTCCGGTGCCCCCCAAGCCATGACGCTTGATGGCGGCCAAGTTTTGGCGGGGATTGGAACCAAGTGGAGGGGTTTCGGTGGAGCTCGGTGTGGGAAGGGCGGGAACGCATGGGATGGATGGGTGCGGAACACATCTTCAGGGCCATTTTTTGTGGATCAAGGATGAAGCCAGATGAATCTCTCAAATCCCCAGGTTCCGGAGCAGGTTCCAGAGCAAGTTCCCGAAAAGGTTCCGGAGCAAGTTCTGGAGTAGGTTCCGGAGCAAGTTCGCCTTTAATGAGCGTGGCTTTTCCTTATTAATTCTAAACACACTTTTCCCTTTCCCTTCGCTAAAATTGTTGATGTGACGACAGAATGTCCTTGGCAGTGGGAGGTGGCGGTGGTTTCATTCCCGTGGGTCGTAGACGGAAGACAATGTAATGTAACGACAGAAGGTTGTTGGGGGGGTTCGGTGGGCGGGTGGTGTGTGAGTAGTAGAACACGATGGTGAGCATTTGATGTGACAAGAGAAGGTCGTTGGTGTTGTGGGTAGTAGACACTTCAAGGGACCCCCAGGTCTTGTAGGCCAATTGTAGAATGGAGCACAGGCCAATTGTTGAATACAACAAAGCTGTGTCCGCGAAAGGATCGCGACAGCATTTTGTGAATGGATGCTGGAATTCCAACAAGTGTTCGGCGCAGATCAGTTGCAATTGTGTGGATGGAACCGCATTTGTTGGGGTGGGTGGGACAATGACATTTGTTCCGATTCAATCCGTTAGGGCATTATTTTTGCTTTGAGCTGCAGGCGTTACTGAAGTCAAGGACGATTCGTTCTTTCGTGTTTTGTATGTTTGCGTTGTCATTGTGTACATCCTGAGGTCCTGTGTCTTCGTCTCACTGAGTTTCGTCAGGTGGAGGATCTTCCCTCCGATTTGAGAAACCGGTTGTGGTGGACGAGAAAGACACAGTGAAGTGTGTCATCGAAAGATGCAGTTCACCAAGGATATGAAGAGGAAACTCCCTGGTCAAAAGAAAACAAGGGGACCGTGCTTGGCGAACTTTGCTAAACCGATAATGCCGATAATATACGCATATTTCCCCAAACAGTTTACTGTTGGGGTTCTATCTTAGAAAAGAAGAGCTGGGCCTTGTCCTCCTCTTGTCCTTGTCTTGGCCGCGCCCCTGAACTCTGTGGCCCGGCTCTGTGTCCTTGTTTTGGCCGCGCTCCTGAACTCTGTGGCTGCTGTGTCCGGGCCTTGTCCTCCTCTTGTCCTTGTCTTGGCTGCGCCCCTGAATTCTGTGGCTGGACCCTGTGGCCAGGCTCTGTGTCCGGTCTTGTCCTCCTTTTGTCCTTGTCTTGGCCGCGCCCCTGAACTCTGTGGCCCGGCTCTGTGTCCGGGTCTTGTCCTCCTCTTGTCCTTGTCTCGGCCGTGCCCTTGAACTCTGTGTCGGCCGTGCTGGCGAACCCTGTGTCTTCCTCCTGCTTCTAGTGGTCACGTTTGCGAGCCCTGTGGGTCCTCCTGGTGTTCCCTGCTGTCCTCGTGCCACGGTGGCAAACCCCGTGTCCTTCTTTTGTTGTTTGTCCAGGTCTGCCTGTCCTGCTTGTCCACGTTGTGGGCCCTTTTATCACCGCCTTATCCTTGGCCACGCCCTTTTTCCTATCTCCGCCGCCTTGTCTGGGTATGTTTTCATGTGGCTATGAATGCAACAGTGATACAGCGATCGAAATGTGATATCACCATCGGATCTTTTCATGACATATATCCGGTATCCCATCGTTTTGCACATGTGACACAGGCATCAGGAACAGGTGTTTTCAAACATTTATTGTTTAGGTGCAGTTCCCAAACAGCTGGAGGTTTTCGAAGAGTATACTTGCATTCATTTCCACCAACATTTCAATTTTCGGAGTTGACGCCGACGCCGAAAAAATGATGACGCTGTTTGGGGTCTATGCTGGTATACTTTTATATACAATCCTTCACTATAACTCTAGCTACGTGGAATAGTGACGTTGTTTGAGTTTGTCATCACCTTTGGTCGAAACCACCCATCTAAGTCCGTTGACATGTTTGTATGCACTGAAAAGATGCAACTTTATTGGCAGGACCCCTTGGAAGAAAACAACGTGAGCTCATGTGAACTCTTGGCGGGTCACAACGTTCATGAATCCATGAAGGATCAAACGGAAACAATACTGGTACAAAACCAGTTGAAATCTGGGTTTCTTGCTTGTTTCACCACCTAAAGCATTCAAACATATTTCTCACGTCCAATCGAAGTACCTCCAAATTGCGTAGTGTGACAGCTTAGCACTCCTAGAGGACGGTCTTTGGAAGTTACCTCCACGCACCAGATGGTGAGGAACTAGTCTGATTCACGGCTGAAATGTCTATATCTTCAAGTGCCCACCCTTCAAATCGATATCAGTAAAAACACAGAAACATCACTGTAAAACCATCTGAAACCTCACCTCAGAACTGCACCGAAGTGCCCAGAAGCCGACACTCTAACCCGAATCTCGAAGCCGGGTGAGGCAAGAAGAGTGCGAGTTGCTGGCCATCAGCGTCAGCAAGTCCAAGGCAAGTTGGTGGAAATCACCATGTCGTATGGGGTTGTGCGCTTCCGAACGACCAGCAAAGGACAGCAGCCAAGGACCAAAAGGCCAAGCAAAATAAGCTGAGCTGCGCCTTGGTAGGCTTTTTCAGCACGAACATTCGGAAAGCAACCATCAGAGGAAGGAAGTGGATTGGAACCACGGGGAAGTGATCAACCATCGTCGTATCCGGCGGATGGTCGACCACCGGTCGCATGGCATGGGACACGTTCCATCGACGTCCGACACTTCCATCGACGGATCGTCGTGTTTCACGCCTGTCTGGGACACATTCTAACAGCTTGGGCACCCTTCAGCATTTTTTCCAATTTGGCAACTCTGTTCATGGAAACCAAGCGATAGCTGATGAATGTTCCTGATTTGCTGGGTGCTTCGGTGCATTTCTCGTGCCTTGGCCTTTCCCAAAAGTTCCATCTGAACCTTTGTTTCGGCCTGGACAACTAGCTGCGCTGGCTTTGATCACACCGAGCCAATTGGTTGGTTTCAAGACCAGAGTAGTAGCGAACAGCGTTTCAACCGGATGCCCTCGACTTGTCGACTCGTCGACTCGTCGCGGAGCCTTCGACTTGCCTCGCGTCCCCGCGTAGGAGATCGACTTTGGAAAGTTCAAGCCGGTGATGATGGCAGCCTTGCGTTCTTTGCTGCCCAAGACCTGGAGCACTTCACATGAAACGGCATGGGAGTGGCTTTGGCAAACCATTGCCCGGAACCTCAAAGAAGCCACAGCCAAGGCTGGGCATCTTTCCTGACAGTGTTTTTCTTCTGGGCTGTAACATGCCCATACATGCCCTAGCTCATTCAACCTAAAACCTCTGCAAAGAGAGCCAATCTCCCGCCATTGTACATACAAGATTCTAATAAGAGGGCAAATCTCCTGCCATCTGTACAGTGGATTCTTGACCACCGTAACAACCGTGGATGTCATTTCTGATTCAGCCGGCAGGACGGTCCAGGTTCCTGCTCTCCACCACGGACTGGGAGAGTTGTTGGGATGCCCGACACAAACATGGTTTGACCCGGGTGCATCTCACATTTGAACGTGACAAAGATCCACCAAAGCAAGCCAGGTTGACGCATGTCCACAGCCCGGCAGCACACGGCTTTGGTGCCAGGTGCGTATGTACAAGCCCTACAACGCCCACTTGTTCTCAGTCCTTGGGGACGAGCAGCTTGAGCACTTCAGCGCCGCGACCGGAAGAATGGGGGGGACACCTCGAAAAATCCGTCGTGAGTGGTGTTTGGGGAAGAGTTGCCCGGGTGAGTTTTGCTTAAGGGACACTGACAGTGTAGTCTGATGCAGATTTTTGTTTGAGTCGGAAAAGCCATGTCATGGTGAGATTGACCTGCAAGTCATGGTCGACTGCATGTCGAAGCAGTATGTCATGACTGCTTCTTGACTTAAGGAAAGGGAACGTGGTTGAAATACTTCCGCCCAACTTGGTGGACATTCGGAATGATGCCAGGGACTGCACAGGGGACTGCACCGGAGGCAGATGGTGAAGATCCACAGATCCACTAGGACACTCTAATAGGCAGACTGGTGGAATCTTGGTTCATAAACCCCCACCACGAAGAGGTTTCACAATCCAAATGGTTTCGGGGGTTTATTCATCAAGACTAAAAACAACAATTCGAAATAATTCGAACGTCTCCTTTGGGTTTCGGATTCTTCGATGGTCAACGTTAAAAGGTCACGTGCCGGAATGGACGATGGTTTGGACTTCGACTCAGACGCGCGTCGAGGAACCGGACCGATCGTCGATTCGTCGACGGGTTCGTCGATTCCGGTCAGCTTTTCACATCCTCACATCCCTGTAGACCATTTTATTTTTCTGAGTAGCAGTTATAAGTGATAGCAGATCGATCTTCAATCTTCAATAGCTCTCTCTCAATAAGTTATAAATATAACTCTCAGATTCGTTGAATCGGTTGAGGACACCGAATAGTCGTCCTTTTGGCATCTGGATATCGACTATTAGTCGTCCGGGGTGCGCCGAATTCCGACGGTCCGAATTCGACACCACGTCGCCGGTCTGGCCTATAGACGATTCACCTGCGAAATCGAAACCAATTCTTAGTGAAGTTCTTCTGTGAAGTCATTACATCAAGGACATCTTAGCATTTTCTTGTTAAAGGGTCATGGTTGCCATCTCTGTTCGTCTTGGACCCTCGAATGAAGGGGTTGGACCCTGAAGCTTGGCAGCTGGACACGGGCATGAATTCATGTCGTTTTTGAGAAACTTGCTGGGCCCCAAAAGAGATGGACATCTCGTCTTTGAGAAATTTGGGTGCGATCTCCATTTCCTTCACTCCGCTCGTGGGGTTTCCGTGGGCTTGAAAGCGACTTGAAAGTCGATCATGATCCGACTGGCCTGGATTCCAACGGAGCTCTGCTGTTCGTTGGATCTTGACGATTCTCACTCGTTTGTTCCGGGGTCACCAACGCAGCTCCGAGGGATGTCCATCCGGAGACGTTCGGATCCGGCGTGGTCGCACAAAAAGGAGGTTGACAGCAATGCCGTGATCATCCCAGGCTATCTTGGGTTTGTCATATTTCCTTGTATCAGTCAGTAAACAACTATCTGCGCAAATTATAGCGACCCCAGCCGAGGTAACGAGGTGAACAGGCACAAATTACGGAGTCAGGCACGAGGTGGGTTAGGGCAATTTAAGGGAATTGGATGGGATAGTAACAAACGACTATCAAAGAAAAATCAATACCAGTACTACTGCCACTCACTACGACTACTACTACTACGACGACGACCACCACTACTACTACTTCTACTACTACGACTACTACGACTTCTCCTATTACTGCTACTACAACTACTACTATACGACTACTAGGACTACTACGACTACTACAACTACCACGACTACTACTACGACTACTACGACTACTACGACTACTACGACTACTACGACTACTACAACTACTAGGACTACTACGACTACTACGACTACTACGACTATGACGACGACTACTACTACCACTAAGTACTAACTACTACTTTCTACTTTCTACATTCTACCATGCCACCTACCATCTACTAACTACTATGTACTATCTACGATCTACTACCTACTATCTACTACCTACTATCTGTATACTATTTACTATCTACTACTACTATCTACTATCTACTTCTACTTCTACTTCTACTTCTACGTCTACGTCTACGTCTACTTCTTCTACTACTACTACTACTGCTGCTACTACTACTACTGCTGCTGCTGCTGCTACTACTGCCACTTTGACCATGACCATGACCAAAGGCAAAAAACACAGTTTCGCAGCCCAAGGCTGTGAAAAAGCCTTTCAAAAAACAAAGCAGCCCCACGACCTCCCGAAACGGTGATTTTGCCTTTCTCTGCTCGACCGTCTGTCCAAAAGAGGCCTTTTCCCAATCTCTGTCTCGTAGCGGGACCCGTCAAACAGAATCTTTGTCAGCGGAGACGTTGGACCTTGTGCCACGCAGGTCAGTGGAGAGCCCGGCCACGACCTCCATCACAAGGATTTTGTTTGACGGGGGGCTCTGCAACAAGGCCTCTTTTGGACAGACGGTCGAGCAGAGGAAAGGCAAAGTCAGAGTTTGGGGTGCTCGTGGGGCTGTTTTTGTTCAAGGTAAAAACAGTTTCACAGCCCAAAACTGCTTTTTTTATTTCTCGAAGAAAAAACGGCCCCACAACCACCCAAAACTGTGATTTTGCTTTTTCTCCGTTCGACCGTCTTTTTTCCCCAAGCAGTGTGCACGGACACACTTAGGGGTTCTTACGGTAGAAGAAAAGCAGCTCATGCTTAAATCGCTGAAGCGCGCGGCCATGACCGGCTAATTTTCACTGCTATTTACAGTACATTCCTCTCCAACTCCTCCAAGTGCATTTCGACTGCGCAGGCTCACAAAATCTGCCCGCCGGCGGCCGGTGCTTCTAGCGACTGCGCTCTCGTTGTGGTGCCGTGCGCATTTTCACACATGATGGTCACTTTTCGTGGCAGGTGCAGGGCGAAACCTCGTGTTTTGGTGCGACTTTTCGTGACAGGTGCAAGGGACCGGAGCTGTTTTCGAAATTACATCGATATGCAGTTTTCGCGGCAGGTGCAGTACTTTGGACATGGTGGTGATCGTCGAGGAGCTCAGATTTCGTGACAGGCGCAGTGAATCGTTACTTTTGGACATGTGGCTTGTTTGCAGATTTCGTGGCAGGCACAGCACTTTGTGAACCTCGAAGTGCAGATTTCGTGGCAGGTACAACACTTTGTGAACCTCGAAGTGCAGATTTCGTGGCAGGCGCAGCACTTGGTGAACCTCGAAGTGCAGATTTCGTGGCAGGCAGATTTCGTTGCAGGCACAGCGCCCGGATGCCTGCAGATGAAAAACAAATGGTTCTGATGTCCGGAATGCCAAGTTCAAGGGAGCAACCTAATTCTCACAGAATGGGGAGGCAGTGTAATAATGCTAAGACATTTACTCTCACTGTGGAAGGGTTCTAACTTAGCTTCATGTTCTTAACACATCCCTCACCCACAAGAACAATCAGCACAGAGAGCCTTGCTAAAGTCAACCCACTACTACCACTACCACTACTACTACTACTACTGCTGCTACTACTACTACTACTTCTACTACGACTATGACTACGACTACGACAACGACGACGACGACGACTACTACTACCACTACTACTACTAGCCCGTCATCACACCCAAACCCCTCAGAATTAAGCTGCACGAGGTGGAACTAACGAGGCGAGGCAATAATTTCCAAACCGTATATAAGGAGGCGAGGTGCTAAACCCCGGGATGCGAATTCCAAAACAAGGGACACGAAGTAAGAATTCATATAATTTGCGCAGAAGTATCGCTATTTTGGAACAAGGCCTGCAGCCCAACCATCATCCACGCTTACAGATAATGAGATAGACCCAAAGGCTATCTCATTGATGTCATTTTGATTAAAAGCAGCCGCCCCAGACTAGCTTAGTAGTGCTGAGCCTGTTCGGATGAATGAGTCTCAGTGGATGTGTTCAGATGGCGCTCAGGAAGTACCATCTATACGCACTTCTTCTCGAAACTCAGCGCAAGGGAGTGAGGTAAAGGTCCGTTCTTTTGGCATTTCATCCTAGCTGGCTACAGACTCATGTATGTATATATGTATATAATTCTTTGTCATCAGGCCATTTCATACAGCTATCATCGGAACAACACGACCATTTGCATTTTGCCATGTTCATGTGGCTTTCGATCCAATCCAGAGTGAACACCAGAGTTGGAAGTCTGCCACCAGTGGGTAGGTGTCAGTAATGCGTAGGGCCGTCGGGTTCACAGCCCGCGTAGTAGGGTTGTTCAAGCGCCTCAGAAGGAACATCCGAGAAAGTGCTATGAATGCCCTATACTATATGGAATTGGGCCTGGCCTAGGCATGTACAGTCCCAATCAGAGTTGACCAGGTGAAGAGGCACCATAAACAGTCCTATATAATCGTTCAAAGTTATAACATAATACAAATCACATCACATCACCATCTATCTATACAGGGTGGGCTGAAAACAAAACGTGCTGCTTCAGATCAGGGCTTTCTCCATGCTCCCTATCACCAAGAACCATTGAACAAAGCCTTTTCAGGTGGGTAGAAATAAAGTTCCTGGGTGACATTTGAAGGATAAAATTCCAGGTTGACATTTGAAGGGGTCATTTGATCAGTTTTGGCTCCAACAATCACGACCAGGCAAATCCCTCATACTAGTTGACTTTTGTGGACACAAAGCATCCCACCGGCCCACCAATCAAGTACAGATCAACCAACTATACGGGCGACCTTGTCCACCATAGCCACAGTCATTGCACACAGACTCTCTATCCATCGCACGGTGAGTGCCGCGACGAGGAAGTGTGCTGCCTCCCAAGACTTGTTCAAACAGTCCCTGACTCGTCTCCGTTACATCGCTGATCGGGTGCTGCAAAGCTCCTATGACATGCGCCTTGACAGCTACCAGTACTTGTAGCGCTGATTCTTGGCTTGGTGGCTGGACCGTATCGGTCTATGATGGGGCAGTTCGGGGCTAAGCATGGCTAAGATGTTTGTTGCCTGGTGACCTTGGGGCACACCGTTGTGCCCAGAGTCTCAGACTTGTTTGGACTGGCAATCGCGAGCAATCTGCAAGTGGGTCTATTGAAATTCCCGAAAGTTGCAGCAACTTCGAACATGGAATGTCAGATCAGGTTCTCCTGCCCTTAGGAGCCCCCTCTGGTGTTCGGAGCGGGTGATGTTCCTTCTTCGAATCTACCACCAGAGATGTCCACCGATACCAATGTTTGCAGTGGACTTATTTGAGTAGCCGCTAGCCAAACGTCACCTGTTTTTTTCCATGGATTCCAGGTTCCACAAGCCCAAGATCGAGATGGTCGACGAGCTGTCAGCGCTGGGTTTACGCCATGTCGGCGCCGGGGATTGATTACGAGTATGATGAGACGTTTCACATTGACTAGACGCATGTGCGTGCGTGCACTAAAACTCAAGCACCCAAATCCAGATACACTCCCTCCAATAGTTTGTTGTAATAATCTGAGGACTTCTTGTCACTCTTCAGTGGGTCCTTGTCACTCTTCAGTGGGTCCACTGTCCACACGGAGCGAGGCTATGGTGTTCCCATCGAGCTCTTTGGGCCCTTCGCCGACTCCTGCGTGGAGGCGAGAGCGGGACACCCGTGTGGCGAGGCGAGAGATGACTCATCAAGACGGAACTAAAGCTCCAAACACGCATGGATTTGAGTGCAGCATGGAAAGTGCAGGGGTTCGGTTTGTCTATGATTTTGTCTCCAAGATGGAACGGTTTTTCAATGTTTCCATGTTTTCCTCGTTTAGGCTTTGAAGGTCCCAAATATCATAGAGATGATGTCCAATGCAGAACACGCTGACAGGGTAATTCATATATACTGTAAATGACCGAGCCTCGTCACATCTTTGGAGGCTCGGTCCGACGATTTGGCACCGTCTCCGTCCTTGGACTTCGCTGAGGTGATCAAACCCGTCATCGATGCTTTGCCTGAAGGTGCATCGTTGAGAAAAAAGAGCGCCCATCGGTGCGCGGGAGCTCGGCATGTTTCGAGTTTTTTTGTTTAAGGATGTTTTTAACCCCCCTGAGATACTTGGTTGTCTAACAAGCTTGGAGGTACTTAGACTCAGACCTCCAAAATCCTTCAACTATGACATGATTTGTGTTTTTCAGCTGCACCGCTCATGGCCCCAAAAGCGGTGAGACTCAGTACCAAGCACAAAGTCTTGTTTTCAGAAAACCACGTGGAGGTGAGTGATTCTGGGTTCAGCCCTGTGGTTCAGGGGACCTACACTCCCTGAAACAAAAATTAATGGAAATAGAACAGTTGAGCCCCTGGAAGAGTATGACATCCTGTATCAAACAGGTGGCGAACTCCACTTCCGATTTCAGGGAGTGGTTAATCCCATTCCACAGCCATTTTCTTCTTCCCGCGCCGAGAAGAGGGTGTTGCCATGGATGACTTACATGGGTGTGTATTGGAATAGGGAGACACCTCGTAGATCAGCTTGAAGAAGAAGGTATAGACCAAAAGCCATTGGTGAGGGGTTGTCTTTTGAAATACAGACCAACACACACGTTTGCTTGTTCGGGTAGACCCAGCTGTTCAAGATTTGCTAAGTTGTGGAACTGGTGATGGTTGTGGCTTAGATAACTTAGATATGTCTAAGATTGTTAATTAGATGTCCACTAGCAGTCACCAGGCTCTTTCGCATGTCATTCCTTTTCTTTCCGAGTATGCGTCCAAACCGCTTCATCCCTTCTTTCACGACACTGTGGGTGTTGGAAGGGTGTAAGTGTATACCATGACCATTGCAGTCATGGCAGGAGATGGACACATCGATGTCCAGACAGTCCCTCCCAGGGTCCGGTCTTTGAGTCGATGTTTGAGGTCGATTTGGCTCCCTAAACAAAACTCAAAAAAGACGGGGACGTGGCGCTTGGCGCGGAGCAAGCAGTGACACAGAGTCACTGACGCACAACCATTGATTCCAAGGTCGTGTACTCTCATCGGCGTATCAGTTTTGGGTCTTGGGAGCCGTCCGGCGGTCGTTTTGAGGGTCCTGGTGCTGCTGCGTTCCGAGAATATGAACTCACACGCTCTACTGAAATCGAGAATGCAACTCCTTCAAACGACCTCAACATCTCCATTCTCCAAATTGTGCTATCCAAAAGTCCAAAAGCTCAATGATCTTATCAATGCACCTTGCAGGACTAGATTCGACTAGTCCTCGTACACCAAACATACTCTCCCTGCAACTAACAAAGAAGTGGACAACCACCTGTTTGTAGAGGAAAAAGAACTTCCAAAAGGGGCCATGCCATCCACTTCCATGCTAGCTTCAGGGAAAAAAAATGGATCCCTTGCCAGGCAAGGCGTTGGCGGCGAGTGGCGATGCTTTTGGGCTGTCTCCCAAGAACGACTCTCCCATGGTGCCGACGAAGAGCGGCTCCGGAGATGCTGCGCCACTGGGTCCGTACAGGCCGTCGGAGAGCGAAGATCGGCTCGAGAAGATCGGGTTCCATTCTATATGGTGCTTGTGACTGGCTTGAGTTGCTGCATCTCAATCCCCCCAAATCATGTGTGTATATGTGTGTCAAAACACAAATATTGCCGGACAAAAGAGAGATGAGAGTAGGATGCTCCGCGGAAACCCGACTAAAACAAAATCAGGCTCCCTGTAACTTCGGTGGCCCTGTTGTGGGTTTGGAGCAGGTATTTGGAACCCTCGGGAATCTGGACTTGTGACGTCGTAACACTAATGTAGACTCTTGATTAACACTCTGACATTGGTTTGCTGTTAACTCAATTCCCCAATCGAGAAGGAAGGTGAGGGAAACGCAAGGTGAAAAGGTCAGCGCAACTGAAATGTTTAACAAATTGTTCACTGGTCGGCAGTGCATGAACGCGCAGCGGCTGAAAGCGGCTGAGGGAAAATGGTTTGTGGGGAGTAGCATGAAGAACCATGGAAGCAAACAAGATCAATTGGACAGCTCGTTCAACCGCTGAAGCAGGTACGCAGTGGAGCGTCCTCAACTGCTTCAGCACCTACTGGCACCCTCTTCGTTGGACGGGCAGTGCCAGTGGTGTCCCGTCCCCCTGCTTGGAAACATCGGAACCCTTAGGTACAGGGGTTGACGCACGCACGGTGCCGCTTTGCGGCGCTGGTGCGGGCGGCCTGGATAGGCACCTAAAAAGCCTTAGAAACAAAAGAAAGAAACACAGAAAGAGCAGCGCTAAGAGGGCAAGAGAGAAAGATAGGTGTAGAAAAAAGGTGAATACTTAGCCCTTGACTGGGGCAGGGAAACGAGCCTCAAGAACAACCTAAAAAGCCTGAAAGAAAGCCCAAGAAACGACCGAAAGCGTAAGAAAGAAAGGGGGGGGGCAGGGAGGGGGTGTATGTAGCATGTGTGTGTGTCCGTGTGTGTGTATGACTACTTGCTACTTAGCACCCTAGAGTTACTTAGCCGAGGCGAATTAAATGCAAAAGTTAGGGAGCGGGACTTTAGTCTTAGACCGCCCGGGTAGAGAAGACTAGAAGAGGAACAACAAAGGGAAAGGCACCGACACACAAGTGTGTCGAGTACCATTTCCCTGTGTTGCCCTAATAAGGTGGGGAGTAGAACTCGGCGGGGGGGGGGGGTTTGGGAAACATGCCTGACCTCAAGTGGAATGCCGTTTTTTAGCCCGGCGGCTATGGTTGTTCACCGTGAAAGGCCCGGCGGCTTTTAATCCTGTTAATTCAGTATTGGCATGGAAGTAGTGACAGTGATCCACGATGAAAGGACGATAAATCAGGAAAACGATTTCCTGTATGAAAGCCGCCCCTCCTTGCGGAGGATCACACCCAGCACCCAAGTGGGACGGCTGAGCGATTCACACTCTGACATTGGTTTGCTGTTAACTCAATTCCCCAATCGAGAAGGAAGGTGAGGGAAACGCAAGGTGAAAAGGTCAGCGCAACTGAAATGTTTAACAAATTGTTCACTGGTCGGCAGTGCATGAACGCGCAGTGGCTGAAAGCGGCTGAGGGAAAATGGTTTGTGGGGAGTAGCATGAAGAACCATGGAAGCAAACAAGATCAAATGGACAGCTCGTTCAACCGCTGAAGCAGTTACGCAGTGGAGCGTCCTCCACTGCTTCAGCACCCACTGGCACCCTCTTCGTTGGACGGTCAGTGCCAGTGGTGTCCCGTCCCCCTGCTTGGAAACATCGGAACTTTTAGGTACAGGGGTTGACACACACACAATTGAATTGAAACACCTCTTCATATGGGGGTCTATTAATCAAGAGTCTACACTGTCTACACGAGCATTCTCCAACGCTGATCTTTAAGGTTCCCATCAGGTCTTTCCCACCAACCCACCGAACCCGCACCGAACCTGAACATCAAACCCACAAGGACCTGTTCCACCGATCTCCACCGCTGAGGCACCTGATGCTCGAGGGCTTCCGCTGGTCTATTGGATTGGTCTCTCGGGTCCTGGTCCGGACCATCATCGAAGGCGAGCTCAGTTCGAGCGCTCGGACCGTCGATCCTTCGGTCCGGCGGTCAATCGGTTGGAGGAACACCTGAGGAAATCAGGTGCTGTGGAGGCTTGTTGAATCAAGTGAGCTACTGAGCTAGTTTGCCTTTGAATAGGCCGGTTCGATCATTCATGAGCTTGGGTCATCTCCCCGCATGTTTGGAGTTTGGGGGCAAACATGGATGAACTGCATCGGTTTCAACTCCTCGATCGATTGCCAGACCAGGCCAACCAGACCCTCCACGAAGCACTATCCCTTGAAAAACATGTCCAATGTCCTTGGGGTGGGTGATGTTCGGAAGGTGCTCCAAGAATGAACACCACCTTTGGCCCAAAATATTCAAAATATTGGCCTACGGCTTTTGGACTCTGGTTCGATCCTTGCCAGCTGCATCACTTTGGATCCTTACATGTCCAGACAGAGTGGTTTTGCAGTATTTGATAGCAATTGCATGCATTTAATGACTATATCAGCAAACGTCACTGCATTCAAGGTGTCCTTACCACAATGCTGAGCATTACTGTAAGTCACGACGTGAAGGATGCTTCTAGTACAAGAGGCACCGTATGTCTTGGCAAAACAATAGTTCCCCCTGTCCAGGTGATCTCGATTGCCAGTCGAAGCACCGTCTCCATTCCGCCGAGTCGCCCCTGGTGCTCGATGTTCGTCCTGGTTCGACCTGAGCATCTCGGTGCTTCAGAGTTCCACGTCGGGGTGGCTTGTCCCATCCGGATGTGGCATCCCATGGCACCCCGACTTCCTCCAGGAAGCACCTCTTTGGAACTGCTGGCTTTGGATGTGTTTATTGTTCTTTCGCCGTCCTCCCGTGCCCGGAACAGGCTCCACGGCGGTGATGCAGGCCACCGGAGGGAACGGGATCGGAAGGAAGGAGCAAGGCTCCGACAGCACAAAGGAGCTGTTCCACACAGCAAACCCAATGTAAGTCGGGTGATGTCTCTTCTTTTCAGGTGCTGCACAAGTTCTTCAAGATCTTTATAGATCTTTATAGTAAAATATAGTAAAATTAATCATATAGCCTGAATATGTCTGAATATAGTAAGAAGCAAGCGAAGCACTATTGAGATGCACCGCAGCAACTCTCTTCAGTATTTCTTCTAAGAGTATCCCATGCCGAAAAGGACATCAACTGTTGGGCTGGAGCTGCTGGGAATCGCCCAATTTGCTTTGGCGCCCAAACAAATAGACCCAAGCAACAGATCGCCAAAGAATTTCACGGCAGATGACCATCTTCTATTAACAAGAAGAACACCGACACCTTTGGAGAACTCTAAACACCCCACCGTCCTACCGTCCTGAGCAGGTCCTTGACCCCCCGAAACGATGTCTGTTGACCGTACCGTGCCAGGCCATCCACCAGGCGGACCCCAAGCGCTTGCGCCGGGCGCTGCGCGAGGCTCCGCGCAGCGAGCGCTTTACCTGGCAGCTGAGCGTGCGCGTGGGCAGTCAATCGATTTCACCGCTCTATTGGGCCCCAGTGCTTCAAAGGGAGTTCAGGATTGGGGGAAGCCGAGGGAGCTGGGAGGATTTGGGAGGATTTGGATTGAAGTGAAGAAGAGTTGCGGGTTGAGACTTGTGAGGACGAGGGGCAGAGACTGTAGGATGATGGATGTGACTTCTTGTGGTCGGGGTCCTTGCACCGAACGGGAAGGCGAGGGCTCCCCGTTCTGGTGCAAAAAAACTGACACGACGACAGTGTCCTGATTTTAAGGAGATTCATCCACTTGACATCATCCAATATCTGGGTCAGGACGGCTTGGCTGTAGCCCGCAAAAGGGAACTTTCGTAGGCTTTTGAGTGTCCAAGGGCCATACTTGGACCATGCAATGGGCTGCAACAAACCAACGCCTGGGCCTGGATGTCTTTCTCACCAGACGCAAAATGACCGAAGGAAGGGTTGTACTGACTAGTACTTGGATCCCGGTTCTGATTTCCTGTATGAAATGGGGTGTCTCAAGTCCACTACGTTGAGGTGTTTAATATGTTGCAAAAAGAAGAGGTTGAGGCACCTCTTTTTGTAGAGATGAGGATTTTGTAGCGACTACGCAAGGCCTTGATGCTGAGATATAGAGGATGGGTCCCTGCAATCTTGTAGTGCAGATTTGTCATTTCAATATGATTCTATCCGATGTTGGGTACGTCCATAATGTAGTGCAAATTTCTACAGCCATTTTGGTGACTCAAAATCGGGTTCATACCATTTTGTAGTCAAACACATTGACAACATAGAGGTTGGGTCCCATCACTTTTGCAGTGCAGATTTCCTGTTTCTATCTGTTTCTTATATGATACTGTACTATCTATGTTGGGTCCAAGCATTTTGTAGAGAAGCAGGGTTTGGTCCTTGCAACATATATAGTACATGTAAATTTGTGATGTTGGGTACTACAGAATGGGGGCTCCGACCCCACCCCCGTAATTGGCAGGGGGATGTACTTGGTACTTGGGTGGTGCAGGGGCATTTGGAGAACCGACTCGCTGGTCTCCGAGGCCTTGCGAAGTGGGGCTCACAACGTGGCCAAGAGCCTCGGCGGGTTTTGTTGTTGTTGTTGTTGTGGTGGTGGTGGTAAAATATGCCGAGGCAACCATGGGGTGATGGTGAATGATGGTCGGTCAATTCTTCCTGTGAGCGAGTCTGACAGCGACTCCTCGTTTGTTCATCCAAAGCGAGTTGCCAGTAGGGAAACATCTACCCTACTCAACCGATCCTTCTGCAACCGTGACTGTTGCATGGCCTTTTGGTTTATGGATGTTTATGGATACTTCATAATGAGATCGAGCAAATCAATTAGACCCTAGCCATGCTACTCATCGTGCATTTGAAAAAAGCTGCTTTTCCAGCCAAGACGCCCGGGCCAGGTGGAAATCTCGGAATGTGCAGGTTGGTTTCCTGTGTGGGATTAACAATGCATACCTCAGGCACCAATAAGACCCAACTAGATGTGATTCTTCTTTTGAGTCGAATCCAATCGTCAGAGTGAGTAGCGTTTGGAAAAAGGAGGGGAGCAACACTGGGACTTACAATCGTTGACGACCTGTTTGAATGACATCAACCATATTATATGTATAGACCCCCCAAATAGATAGAAGTTCGTAGATCCGCACAAAGCATGTATTGGACGCCGTTTCTATCTACTAAACGTGTTGGGATCACTATACTTTATGGTAGAATGTGGCATAGACTTATATAAAGCTGGTCCTTCGCGACATCGCCGGACCGCTCCGCGCGACAAAGGTGTGTCTGGAGTATTCTGGAGTGGGACCTTTGGCAAGAGCAATTTGGTTGAGTCTCACTCTCTCTTCTTCTATATAAACTCAACCTATAAGCACTATAAACTCCAAGAGGGTTCTTGGTTCTTCTTCTATATAAGCTTTTGCACTCAGAACCCCTAGTTGAATGGTCCATGTCCTCTGAACACGTCCGATCCGCGTCCCACAACGTACGGCACTCCGCGGCCAGTACGGCGGCACAGCTCCCGAGGACCATGATCCAAGATGTGTTGACCATCCGCGCAGACCGAGACAACTACTACTATGGGGTGAATGATCTCTTCCGACTTCAGCCAGATGTGGTTGCATGACAGACGGTGAAAACTCACAGAATGGTCGGAGGCTGGTGGTGAAGAGGAACACGGTGCAGCAGCACTGCCCTAGGAGGTCAGGAGGTGTGCGTGCAGAGAAATTCACGTAGACCTTAGCACAGAAATTACAGGGTTTTGACTCCTGCTTTTGGATTGAAGACTCGAATGTTTGTTTTTTGTGTTGACACGGGGGCACCTACAATGTACCATCTACAGAGTTGTGGGTCAAGCAGGGACCTAGCAACCTACCGCAGGGTCTTGCAACTTGTAGAACTCACCGTGCTGTGAACAGATTGATATATATATATAACTATATATATATAACTATATTATATATAACTATATAATTAACATTGATATTAGGGAAACTTCTGGACTTGTATGTTTTTCTTGACACAGTATGTATATATATATATATATTTAACTACATTTCCAGCGTTAAAATACATGAGAGTGGATGGTTGTTTGGTTATTTGGCTTTGTGCGCACGCGTTTTATATCTCGGTTCGCGTGGCGTTGAGGTCGAGAACATCCTCCGCGAGGCGCCGCAGTTGGCAGAGAACTTCTTGGATGGCCTCATTTGGCGCTCCCACAAGACGCTGGAGGGACGCCTAGCTGGGTGGTCCTGGACAGATGTGACATGAAGAGGATAGTAAGGATCAACCGTTGAAACTATGATGTAGGACCAGTTGCGCCCGCCTAATTCGTGAAACTGGAAGGGCTCATTCGAGGCCACAAGTTGTTGGTGTTTGCTTTTGTTGGCTTTCCTTGGTCGCTTTCTTTGTGGGAAATTTCAATTGTTCTGTGAGGCGACCTCCTGGAAACATGTTCTGTTCTTTGTGCACATACACACACGCACCCAAATGTGGCACATGATTGATGCTCATTTCTCCAGTCTTCATTTCGTCCTCGGTTTGAGGTGAACTGGACACCATGGGATGTCGGGATATGGGATGAAGCTAGTTGAGGATTCCTTCCACTTGCTGGTTGCATGGTCCTGAGAGTGGCGGGTCTCCCATGGAGTTATGTCGGCCGGGGCGGGGCGTCCTGGACGGTGCCGAGACGTCGGCCCTTCTCGGCATCCTGGATCGATCATCTCGGTGTTCGGAACGTGTGGGGGATCCACCAATTCCCCGAGAAGGGAGCCGTTGACAGCCATTGAAGGCCTAAGGCCTGGGGCTCGTTGATTCATACAGGGGATACCTTGAGTTAAACAACCAATAGGCCAAAATATATGGGTTTACTGTATGTACTATATATATAATAACATAATTGGGTCTGTCCTATTACTGTACCTGTAACAGTCAGTAAACAATCAGCAGTACAGTATTTTTGAACAAGGCCTCTACTAACCATCATCATCCACTGTTACTGAACTCAATATCCCCTTCGAGCAGCTGGTCCATAACATTCGTTCGCATGTGCATTGATGTCTTGCCAATTAGTTCGGATTGGGCCGCTAGTACGCATAGGCTGACTGGTCGTCCAGGACAAAATCCACTGATACTGGTAATAGGATAGACCCGATATATATATATATATATGTGGTACCCCGCAGCGAGCAGAGCTTTCAAGCATCTGCCAAGCTCAAGCGCAGTTGCGGAAGCAAGGGGGCCCAAATGGAGCTACCCACCATGTTCAAGAAGCATGAAGTTGAAACGGACTTCTAGAAGAAGAGCTCAGGAAAAGAATCGAAGAACAAGAAACATGTGGTACCTGGCATCGACCGCTCTACTATTCCCACGGTCGGACATCATTGCTTGGCGGTGTCTTGGCCTCTCGAGGCCGGCCTCGACTCAGAAGGCCGTGAAGGCCGTGAATCATCCACATCCTCGGGTGCATCAACGAAACACCGTGCCTTTCCGGGGGCTTCAAAGTGAATCAAGGCCCCCTCCGTCGGGTTTGAAGGTGAAGGTCTTTAGGGTCTATCTATGTCTATCCGCCACGTTTCGTCGAGATTGTGGGGTCCCAAGGATGGCGCCCAGTGATCTACTACCTGGAGCACTTGCTACAAGACATGGATGAGAACAAGACGATCTCTCGAGCTCTCAAGCTACTTGCCACGGAACTCGCCATGGAAAAATGCCACGGACTTTTGATGAGAAAACCGGGCCCCTCGACACTCTAAAACAAGATTCAGGACTCCGATGGATCAGGGACAAGAGGAATTCATTTGGATTCATTCACTGTTATATATATATAAATAATTGTATATTTGTTTGTTGTCATGGGCCTCCACATCAATAATGGGCGACTTGTGCCAAGTGAGAGGGCGGCGCAGCTTGGGTCGTTGAATAGGATCCTGGCTGCAACACACTTATGTAAATATCGATTAATTATTCGTTTAGTGCCAACAAAAAACCTGAGGCTTCAAAACCTCTTTATTGTAGGGTGCCAATGACCCCCGGGGCCCTCTAATCTCGAATGATCTTGAATGTAAATCTGTTGCCTCAACCGACCGCTTCGACCGCCGTTCTGGGCTTCGGGTCAAGGCCGAGCCAGAACTCGGTCCGGTCCCTGAGGAGTCAGAAGCCTATTTTCCTCTCTTTGGGCCCATTCCAGAGACATAGGACATGGTGATTTTGGATGTTTTCCTCCATGTTTTCGCAGAAATCAGAAGACATGTACAAACTGAAGTGTGGATAGCCCGTCAGACGGATACCCTCTTCGTGTGGACAATAGACTCACTAGAACCAGAAGATTAAGAACCGATCATAGAGGGAAACGGCAACTCCAAATACGTGTGGATTTCGACAAACAAGGTGTTGTTTGCCACTGCTGTAGTGGAGGATGCGTTAGAAGCCCATGCTTTACCAATCTTGATATCGTAATGCTTACTGTACTGTAAAAGGTATCAGATGATGTTTAATGATCAAACTCCCAAAATTTGCTCTAAGTTCCATGTCAGTGTGTTCCTTGTGAGTGGGTGTTGGCAAACCAGGTTGTAGTAGTAGTAGTAGTAGTAGTAGTAGTAGTAGTAGTAGTAGTAGT